CCAATTCCATCATTTTACATATGTAGAAATTAAGGTCCACAAAAATAAGTAAAATAGCTTGATCAAAATCCCACACCGCAAATCAGTAAACTATTCACCTGAATTACTACTTGTTAGAACCTAGTATTTTAAAAGAGTTTGAGATGCAAATTTTATTAATACATTCATCATGCGATATTTTTTATAATGGATAAGTCAAAAATTAATGTGAGTTTAAAATTCTATTTTCCATACCATTTCTTACCTATCGATTTACTAAAGCTTAAAAGAAAATAAGAATACCCAACTTTTGTTAGGGGGTTGTGAAACAAAAGACATAAACCACTGGTTGTAAGTATTAACTGCTTTAACCACTCAGAAAACAAATTGCCAATATGTACAAGAATTCTCAGAAATGATTATGCCTTTCCAGTGAGGAACATCATTCCTGGGAAAGTTACTATATAAAATACATGCTCCCTCTGCTTAAAAAATAGCCAAAACTAGTCTTTGACATTAGAAGTCAGGAGAAGAGTTACTTATGGTGACTAGTACAGAAAGGGAGCAAGAGAGGAGCTTTTGGGGTGGTCCTGATATTTATCAAGGGGAGACAGGTTTAAAAAGTATTAAGTGAAAGAATCAGGATTGTAAATACAATATGTTCAACTAGCTAGAAATACATAGAATACAGTCTAATGGAAGGAAATACAACTAAAACAATTCCCATTATTTCTTAAAAGCTATTATGATTTTTATTCTATTAAATCCCTGGAGGCTTTGTCATCTATTTTCTTGCAAGCCATACACTACATGTACCAGCTTCAAAGGTGGGTGAGGAAAATAATTAAGTTATAACTGAACCATTAGAGTAGTAATAATATAAAAGGTAATTTGAAAACTGTCTGAGACTAGATTGTAGACAGGAAATATCACACTTATTTCGCACAAAATACTCATGGGGCTTTCCTAAACCAGGACAAATGATTGGGAAAAGCCCCACATAGGTGACTTCCTGAAAATCACATGGCTAACTGGTACAGGCTGGAAATAGACATCGTTTTTCAAGAAGAACACAACTACTGCAGATGGCAACAGGACTTCTAAATTTTCTCAGAAGATCCATCAAGAGAGGCTTCAAGCATTCAAAGAAGTAACATAAAAAACAAATAACTTTTGCCCTGGCCAGTTTGGCTCAGCGGTTAGAGCGTTGGCCTGCGGTCCGGAGAGACCCGGGTTCGGTTCCCGCTAAGGGCACGTACTTCGGTTGCAGTTTGTCCCCGGCCCTGGTTGGTCGTGCGGGTGGCAGCCACTCGATGTGTCCCTTCACATCGATGCTTCTCTCTCTCCCTTCCTCTCTCTCCCTCCCACTCTATCTGTACAAAAAGTGGAAAAATATCCTCGGGTGAGGATAAAAAAAGAAAAAAAAAAAAACAAATAACTTTCCAGTTTGGGCTTACATGTAGCTCCACATTAATACTTCGAGAATTAGCCACTTCCAATGTTCAGCCAATCTGGGTTGGAGGTGGCAACACTGAGCGTGCAAATTAAATATTAGCATAAATAAATCATTAAATATAACATATCGGGAGAAAAATCATGTGATCTAAAACTCTACACATATATACACTATCCATGGTTCCGAGCTTCTGACAGCCTGCTCTCTTTCTAGACAGAACGGAGGACAAGTTAGTATTTTACAGTTTTTTGTTTTTTTATCCTCACCCGAGGATATTTTTCCATTTTTTTTTTGTACAGATAGAGTGGGAGGGAGAGAGAGGAAGGGAGAGAAACATCGATGTGAAGCTGCCACCCGCACGACCAACCAGGGCCGGGGACAAACTGCAACCGAAGTACGTGCCCTTAGCGGGAACCGAACCCGGGTCTCTCCGGACCGCAGGTCAACGCTCTAACCGCTGGGCCAAACCGGCCAGGGCAGTATTTTACAGTTTTATGTCAATGTAGACCTGTCTTTCCTATTCCACCTCTTACTGTTACCTCCACTTACATACAGAAAGTCACTTTGAGTACCGCCACCTCTTATAAAATATAAAATAAAAAAGCCAAAACCTCGCAGTAACATGTGGAACCAACGCACCCCCCTGGCATCGTACACCTGACCTCGGCCTAGAGGAACCTCGGAGCGCTCGGGTGGCCAGGGGACACGGCGACATGGCCCCTGTGGCGTTAAAAACAGTACCTCCGCACTCCCAAGGGCCTCCCTAAAAGTGAGAGGTCGGTGGAGAATCTAAACCTAAGGATAAGGCAGAGGAGAGCGGGATCCCGTCACAGAGGAAAGTCAAGAAGGAAAAAGTGGGGAGCGTGGGAAGGGCAGAGGCTCAGAGGACGGGTAAGTGGGGGAGAGGAGCCAGAAGAATGGAGGGGTTGGAAAGGCTGACGTGCCCCGAGGTGCACAATCCTACTCACTGGCCGACCGGTTTCGGACCCCGGCTTTGGGAGACCTCGGCGTCCCGGGGCCCACCAGTCAGGGGTCCGCAAAGCTGGACCCCCCACAGCACCAGCCAGAGTCAGGGGGCGTCTTCCGACAACGCCCTCCTTCCAGCCAATCCCATCGCGCCCTCGTGGGCGCGCTCCTGATGACGTTCGGGGCGTGGCTCGCGGCCTGCCTCTCGCTGCAGGCCTTTCCGGTCTCTACCAGTCCACTTCCGGGTCTCCTGGGCTTTCGATTGTTTGGGCGCGAATTGCTGGGAGCCTGGATCCCTACATGGCTCCGGAGGAGAGTCGTTGGTGAGTAGTGACAGCGCTTACCCTGCCCGTGGGTCTCGGTTGGAGAATGAGGTTTGTGACCGCGTTTGTGGCCAACTCCGCGGTTTGCATTTGAGAAGCATGGGGTGACTTTTAGAAAGGGAGGGAAATCCCAGCAGGTGTGCACTGCGGGGCCTCGGATTGAATGATTTGCTTCGCGAGGAGGGAGTGAAGCCGTAAGATTCTCCCCTCCTTTCCCCGAGTCGGCCTCACCCTTGTACTCTTTCCTTGGAGATCAATGTCTGGCCTTGAGGGGACTGCGGGCGGCGGCGCCCTCCGTGGGCGTCACTTGTCAGGAGGTAAACATTGTGTGTTTGTGTTTGCGAGACCTCTGCTCCCTGCTTCTGCCCACACAGGTCTAGATTGAGATTCGTGGTCTCCACGAGTTGCAGCGAGCTGGTAAGGAAACGAGACAACCTAGGACGCCTCCCTGCGTGCTTGACTGCACTCTCAAGTCTGTGCGCAAGCCACCCGTCCAGGGATTTCTGTCCAGGCCTCCCAAGCGCCTTAAAGGTGTCGCAGAACACACCAGTCTCTATCTTTTTGTTGTTGTTAGTCCTCACCCAGGATATTTTTCCATAGACATACCCATCGATCGCCAGTACGACCTCGGGGCCGGGATAAAACCTGCAACCCAGCCCTGGCCGGTTTGGCTCAGCGGTTAGAGCGTCTGCCTGCGGTCCAGAGAGACCCGGGTTCGTTCCCGCTAAGGGCATGTACTTCGGTTGCAGTTTGTCCCTGGCCCTGGTTGGTCGTGCGGGTGGCAGCCACTCGATGTGTCTCTTTCGCATCGATGTTTCTCTCTCTCTCTCTCTCCCTCTCTCTCCCTCCCACTCTATCTTACAAAAAATGGAAAAATGTCCTTGGGTGAGGATTAAAAAAAAAAAACCTGCAACCCAGGCACATGCCCTTGACCGGGAATTGAACCCGCGACCCTTCACCCTTCGGTCCATGAGCTGTCGCTCTAACCACTGAGCCAAGTGGGTCAGGGCCACACCAGTCACTTTCAAGCTGTCCTGCCATCAGGCTTTTGCTGTTTTCTCTCAAATAGGTCATTCACCTTCCTTCTGGCTCAGTATTTGGAATTCAAATATTAATGTTTTCTCTGAATACTGTACCTTCACTCTAACACACCATTTTGAGATAGTCTTTCACTCATTTGTCTCAGAACATTTGTCACGTTGTATGTAATTGTATATAATAATTGTTTTTATATCTGTCTCTACCCACTACCACTAGGCTGTGGTTTCCTGTGGATCTATAATTTCTATTCCTTTTTGTATGAGCTATGCCCCAGATATTGTTCTAGGCACTTTATGTATTCTGTACAAAATTTTTGCTTCACAAATTTGGTACTTTTATTAACCCATTTTACCAATGTGGAAAGTGATTAAATTTATTTGGCCAATAAATTTGGAACCTGGGCAATTTACTATCCTCATCCTTGGCTCGCTTTTGGCTGTGGTTCCCCAACCTGGGGCAATTTCACTGCTGGGGAAATTTGATGTCTGGAGACAATTTTGGTTGTCATAACTGAGGATGCTGCTAAACATCCTACAGTGCATTGGATAACAAAGAATTATTCCATCCCAAATGTTAACAGTGCAGTGGTTGACAAACTTGATGTATTATCGTTTATTGCTTCAAGTAGGTGTCAGTGAAAACAGTGCTTCTCAAATTTTGTGGGTTTTTTACATTTTTAACTGATACTTTTGTAAATTACAATTAAAAGTGAATTACTGCCCTGGCTGGTTTGGCTTAGCAGATGGCCCATGGACCCAAGACTCACAGGTTCAATTCTGGTCAAGGTCTTGTACCTCAGTTATGGGTTCAATACCCACCCCAGTCGAGGTCATATGGGAGGCAACCAATTGATGTGTCTCTCTCACATCGATGTCTCTCTCTCTCTCCCTCTCTCTCCCTCCCTCCCTCCCTCCCTCCCTCTCTATCTAAAAAAGAATCAATGGAAAAGTATCCTCAGGTGAAGATTTTTTAAAAAGACTTTTATTACTACCCCTGGCCAGCTAGCTTAGTTGGTTAGAGTGTCGTCTCTATACACCAAGGTTTCGGGTTCAGTCCCATCAGGGCACATGCAAGAAACAACCAGTGAATGCATAAATGCATAAATGGGTGGAATAGCATAACAATGTTTCTCTCTCTCCCTCCCTCCCTCTCTCTCCCCACCTCTCTCCCCCTCTCTTCCTCCCTCCCCCTCCCTCCCTTTCCCTCTCTCTCTAAAATCAATAAAAATATTTTTTAGATAAAAGTGAATTATCAGTCAAACCCATAGAATGTATAACATGAAAAACAAACTGTAATGTAAACTATAGACTTTGGGTGGTATGCTGTATCAATGTAAGTTCATAGACTGTAGCAAATGTACCACTCTGATGTGGGATGGTGGTGGTGGGAGAAGGTACAGGGGTATATTGGAATTCTCTGTACTTAGTTCTGCTCAATTTTGCTGTAAACTTAAAAATGCTCTAAAAAATAAAGTTTATTTTTTAGAAAAGTGAAATTTAAAAAGAAAAAAAACAAAGCCATTTGTTTTATAATCAGATTCAATATACACAAAATTGTTGGCAAATTTCTATAAATGTTTCTAAATGAATACTCTAAATTTCTATGCTTAAAGGGACTATAACAATTTGTGTCTCAAACTCGGAGTAGTACTGAATAACATTATTGAATAACTATCAAGAAAAAATGATTAACAACTAAACTGTAAATAAATACCACCTGAAAGTCAGAAACCATAAGAGACCACACACTTTTAGAAAACAATGAAGTGGGGTGGTTAGAAAGGCTTTGAGAAGCAGGTGGCTCATGATCAGAGAGGGTGGGCAAAGACACAGGAGAGCATGGCTCCAGTAGAGGGTATAGTGTGTGCATTACTTAAAGTGTGTTCAGGAAAGGATCAAATCTAGCCAGAGAGGGAGGTTCGAAAGTAGTGGGAGAGAAGTGTGGAAAGCTAGGCAGGGCTGCATTATTAAGGACTTTAAATGGCATAGTAAAGAATTTGGATGTTAAGACAGGTTTTGGGGAAAGAATTTTTTTTTTTTTTCATTAAATAAATAAAAAGCCATGCCCTGGCCAGTGTGGCTCGGTTGGTTGGACTATCATCCTGTGTATCGGTAGATGGCAGGTTTGATTCCTGGTCATGGCACAGTAGGGAGGCAACCAATTGATGTTATCACTCTCACATCGATGTTTCTCCTCTTTCTTTCTCTCTCTCTCTCTCTCTCTCTCTCTTTCTTTCTCTCTCTCTCTCTGTCTCTTCCCCCCCACACACACACCCCCTTCCTCCCTCTCTAAAATCTTTTTTTTTTTTTTTTAGTTTACTATTTGGTTCCAGAATTTGAAACTGGAAACGACTTGGTAGGACTGACTCGTGTCTTTTCCATGTAGTGTCAGCTGCAGCATATTGGCTCAGGTACGTACACCAGACTGGCAAGTTGGTGCTGACTATTGGGAGTTCAGCTGGGGCTTTTGCCTGGGACATCAGTGGCTCTCCATGTTGACCTTCCTCATAGCATGGTAGTTAGATTCCAGAGCAAATATTCCAAGCAGGAGAACATTGCAGCTGCCATTCTCTTCATTTTGGGGCCGATAAACTGGTACAGAATTATTTCTACTATTTTCTGCTTAATAGTTGTAGAGTTTGTCAAGATTTAAGACAAGGGGAAATAGACTTCCCATGTCAGTAATAGGAGTGAAGACCTGGCCAGTGTGGCTCAGTGGTTGAGCATCGACCCATGCACCAAGAGGTTGCTGGTTCGATTCCCAGTCAGGACACATGCCCAGGTTATGGGCCAAATCCCCAGTGGGGGGCATGCAGGATGCGACCAATTGATGTTCTCTCTCATCGATGTTTCTCTCTCTCTCTTCTTCCTTCCTCTCTCTGTCAAATCGATAAAGAAAAAGAAATAATAATAACAGGAGTGAAAAGGAATTTGCACCATTTCTAAGCTGCCAAATGGAGTGAGGACTAAAGAGTGGCCCTCATTTCTTCCTCACTTGGATACTCATTTTTAGTGAGCAACCTGGACTGTACATGGCAGCCCTTCTAGGAGAGGTCCACAGGTAAAACGCTCATATGGATTGGTTTTTAAGTAGGGGGAAGTATAAGAGCATGGATGTAAAGTTGAGAGAATTAGGCATTTCAGGAATAAAACATAGTAGACTCGCTGTAGAGTAAGGTACCACATTTTTTAAGAGCAGGGTGAAATGTACTTTAGCTTCCACTGCTTTTAGTAACTGAGTGGGGGAAAGCTTAAACTTCCTTTTAAAATTTGAGCCCAGGTGGTATGGCTCAGTGGTTGAGCATTGACCGATACACCAAGAGGTCGCTGGTTCCATTCCCAGTCAGGGCACATGCCCAGGTTGTGGGCCCCATCCCCAGAGTGGGGTATGCAGGAGGCGGCCAATCTATGTTCTTTCTTATCAATGTTTCTATCTGTCCCTCTCATTTCCCCTCTCTCTCTAAAATCAATAATGGAAAAAAAATTTTTTTTAATTTAAGGGAATAGATTTATCCAGGATACCTCTTTTATTGTCTGTGTCTGAATCTGCATTATATTTAAACTTTATTAATATAATTAACTCTGAATTTTTAGGAAAAGAATGGTGACTGATTTATCTACATATCTAGCTGTATATGCTAAAAAATATACATATAATGTATATACCACACATTATGTGTGTGTGTTTATCTATATATATCCATGCATACTGTACCTAACTTTTGGCTACCTATTCCTTATGGCCTAATGCAAGAATAAATATCCTAAATAGACACTTCTCCAAACAGGACATACAAATGGCTAAGAGACATATGAAGAAATGCTCAACATCACTAAACATCAGAGAGATGCAAATTAAAACAACAATGAGGTATCACCTCACACCTGTCAGAATGGCCACCATCAACAAATCATCAAACAACAAGTGTTGGCGAGGGTGTGGAGAAAAGGGGACTCTAGTACACTGCTGGTGGAAATGCAGACTGGTGCCGCCACTATGGAAAACAATATGGTGTTACCTCAAAAAATTAAAAATTGAACTTCCATTTGACCCAGTGATCCCACTTCTAGGAATATACCCTAAGAAGCCTGAAACACCAATCAGAAAGAATATATGTACCTCCATGTTCATAGCAGCACTATTTACAATAGCTAAGATCTGGAACAGCCCAAGTGTCCATCAGTAGATGAATGGATAAAAAAGCTGTGGTACAGGTACACAATGGAGTACTATGCAGCTGTAAGAAAGAAAGATCTCTTATCCTTTGAGACTACATGGAGGAACCTGGAGAGTATATGCTAAGCGAAACAAGCCAAGCAGAGAAAGACAAATAGCACATGATCTCACTTATTTGTGGAATATAATGAACATAACAGTCTGAGGAACGGGGTAGTCCCAGAGATGTGGAAGTGGGGTACAGACTGACAATCCCAGAAGAGGGAGCGGGGGGGAGATAAACCACAGAACTTATATGCATGTATGCATGAACAGTGGACATGGACAACAAACCTGGGGACGGGGCAGGGAGGGAGGGGGAGGGGTATCAATGGGAGGAAAAGGAGAAATATCTGTAACAAAAATAAATAAATAAAATAAATAATAATATGCAAAAAAAAGGAACAAGCCAACAGGCCAAAAACAGTGTCCTTAATGCTAAGCCCATGGCACCAAACTGAAACGTAATCACTGACATGACATTGCACGTCGGCTCATCTATTGGATCTGTGTCTGTCTCTCCTGACTACATTTAACGTGGTCTCTGAGGGCAGAGTTGTGTTCTGGTCACCTCTGTATCCCTAGTGCCTAGAGCACAGAAACTGACACTAATATTGTTTTAATAAACAGAAGAACATCTTTAAAAAAAGAAAAAGAATAAATATCCTACTCCTCTGTTCCTCTTAGCAGAAATGAGTTTGGTGATAAAGGACTATTAGATAGAGAAAAAGAGTTATTCTAAATTTTGTCATTGACAACCCCACTCCTGTATCTGTTTTTTAATTTGTGGGGGTAGAGAGAAATCAATATACTTCTGTAATCTTGTTAAAATGCACATAACTCAGAGTCATAGAGCTGAAATCTTTATGAGTGAATTTACCACATGAAGCTGCACAACACAGATCCATGGTATAATTCTAAAAATTGTCTCCCTCTATCCTTGGCATAAGTTGAATGATAAATTCCTTAGGCTTAAAACAAGAAGGCCTGAATGGTATCTGTGAAATAATAGTTAGTACAGTTATCTGTGGCCGGAGTAAGACAATTCAACACTTTATAGTTCCATTTTCTTGGACTTAAACATGGAAACAATGTGATTGGGTAAGGAAGTATAAAGTTAGAGATGCAAAAGCATTTTAAAGTGGTTTTTAAAAGCCATACCAATGGAAGAAATTTCTAAGAATGAAATTTGAATTAGATACCCTTACTCTAATAAGAACTAATGTTATTTGTTTTTAAATATGTTTAAATGTTTAAAAGGCCAATTTGGAACATTTATAGGTATTGGTTGTCTTTTAAACAAAATATTATGCAAGTCTTAAGCATTTTTCTGTGTCCTGTTTGTTTTTACAGATTTTTTGAAGCACTTTTAGAATTGTTCTGTTTAGATCAAGATGTCTAGCAAAGCAAATGCTTCCAAGAAAAGGTTTCAGCAGTTAAAAAGAAATCCAAAACGAAAAACTGATGATGAGGAAGTGGAGTTATCAGAGAAAGAGGTAATGAAAATACCTAGTAGAATTTTTTTCATCCATAAATATCATCCATTCTCTTGAAGGAAGTATCTGAAGACTAAAGGTCATCTTTACTGCAAACTGTAGTAATTCATATTGTTATTTAGGAGCTATTACAGCATGCTTTGTAAAAGTTCTCAGATAAAACTTGTTTACTTCAATTCTGAAGATACTGATCAGAGAATTCTTTGGAGAGGAATGGGTCATAAGGTATTGCTAAAGTGTTTAAATGGGTGACTAAGAATAAAGTGTACAAATTTTATGGCATCCATATGTTAAAAGACAAGACAATCTATGACAGTTGGTAGAGGAGATTTTTCTTAAGATAGTAAAAAAGCCCTGGCCGGTTTGGCTCAGTGGTTAGAGCATCGACCTGTGGTCCAGCGAGACCCGGGTTCAGTTCCCGATAAGGGCACGTGCCTTGGTTGCAGTTTGTCCCCAGCCCTGGTTGGGTTGTATGGCTGGCAGCTACTCGATGTGTCCCTTTCACATCGATGTTTCTCTCTCTTCCTCTCTTTCCCTCCTACTTTATCTGAACAAAAAATGGGAAAATGTCCTCAGGTGAGTATTAAAAAAACAGTAAAAAATTAGTTTTATGGGAGAATAAATGACTAAATAATCAACAATTTTTTTCTATATTTTACCCTGTATTGGGCAGTGCCTCTTTATTTTGCAGGTAATGTATGTAACACTATTTCACTATCAAAATGAGTAATAATTTTTTTTAACATTGTTTAATAGCACAGGACATTCTGTATACATTATCACCATTGTCCAGGAATTGCTTTAGTATAGTAGAATACTTTTTGCCTGTAGAAGTGGCAATATACTTTTTCTACCTAGCCAGAAGGTATATGAATACTGTTCAACATATATGACAAGTCTATTACCAGAGCAAAATCTTTTTATCTGATGCTCAATTCTGTCTTTGTATGTGCATGTGTTTTCCCTCTAGGTTAGAAACACAGTGAAGAAGAAGAAAAATCATCCAAAGCATCTGTCTTCTGAAGGTATTTCTTTTCTATATCTTGTTTAACTGGTCTTTCTCAAGCTACCTATATTCGAAAAAATTATCAGCATCTTGTTATGAGTTCTGCAGAAGCAAAAGATAGTAACAAACAACAGCATTCTCATTCTTGCAAGAGTAAGTACTTGTTAGTCAGTTATTTTGGTCAATTGAAATTTTATTTACCATGGCTAGCAAAATATTGTGAAGGGTTCTAAAATTCATAGGAACTAGAGGAAAAGTGTCTCACAGTCTAAATTATTACTAATCCGTGATATATAGAAACACCTAATGCTTTTTTTTCAAGATTCTGCCACCACTGTATAGATTAGTTTGGAACCACTATCTGATTTATTTGGAGTAAATTAGTTTGGAGTATTCATGTTTACTTAAATATCACCTTTTCCTGGAAGAATTCCCTACCTTTCCTTACCCTAGACCAGGTTACATCATCTGGTTTTATACTCCCATAGTGCACAGTACTTCTGCTTTTATGATGCTTTTCATTCATCTCCTTTCTCTCCAAAACAAATCTTCATGTGAGCCAATAGTATATCATCTTTGTTTATCCCTTGTAAGTAGAACAATTAGCAATCTACCATCCACTGTCTATGGTTTGGTTAATCTGTTGTTACAGTTTCCATCCAACATTTAGTAGAAACAGTTTTCTAGTCTTAATGAATGAACTCTTTAATTCAGGTCATTTCTAAGAACCATACTTTTATTCTGAATCCTAATAATTGTAGCATGGTTTTTCATTTAAAATTGTCTTGGGTAACCCTGGCCGGTTTTGCTCAGTGGTTAGAGCATTGGCCTGCAGTCTGGAAAGGCCCGGGTTCGGTTCCCGCTGAGGGCGCGTACCTTGGTTGCAGTTTGTGCCCAGCCCTGGTTGGTCGTGCGGGTGGCAGCCATTCGATGTGTCCCTTCACGTCGATGTTTCTCCCTCTCTCTCTTCCTCTCTCTCCCTCCCACTCTATCTGAACAAAAAATGGAAAAATGTCCTCCAGTGAGGATAAAAAAAATAAATAAAATTGTCTTGGGTATATCTATAGTATGTTAATATTATTTTAATTAACATGAAAATAGATAGCATATTCATATTCGGCACCTGGCATGTTATGGCTGTGTAATAAAGAGGAAATTAAACAGTTTATATAGCTTTATAATATTTTGGTTCCCTTAATTCCATTAGGTTTTTTAGATAAATTTATACTTTACTCACTTTTTAAGTGAAAACATACAAACTTCTAGACTGATCAGAGTCTTTTCTTTCACCAGAGACAGGACAAACAGAGCAAACCAATCTGAAACAGGTAAAGATAACATCCAGCAAGAGAAAAACCTGGCAACCTCTTTCAAAGAATAGCAGAAAGCATTTGCAAACTATGATGGAAACAATAATAATGTGAGTACGAAATTTTTCCATTTAATTCTTTTTTTAAATATGTTTTTATTGAATTTAGAGAGAAAGAAATATCTATAAGAGAGAAACATCGATCACTGCCTCTTGCATACCCCTTCATACCCCTTACTGAGTATCAAACCTGCAACCTTGGCATGTGCCCTGACCTGGAATCAAATCGATGACCTCTCAGTGCATGGGACTGTGCTCAACCAACTGAGCCACATGGGCCAGGGCCCATTTAACCCTTGATTTCTACTTAAGTTTTCTATTGACAGTATTCTTTCAAATGTTATTATGTATTATATTGTGATTGGATGTTTTACTCTTTCAGAAGAAAATATATTTAATATATTTTAATGGCATTAGTCTTAACAAAAAAAGTCTTTGTTAATTTCAGAAACTTAGTATTCCATCAAGGAAATAAAAATAAAGTCTGTAGGACCTGATCTAATTACTTTTAACATGTTCTATTAATATGGACACTTTAAGAAGAAGTTGAATTCAAATTGACACTTTATATGGAAGTTACCACGCTAGAGGGGATACAAAGAAAATAAGGATTCTGCCATCAAGGAGCTAAAATCCATCAGAAGAGTCAGGCATATAAATTAAATACAATAATATTATAAAAATAACTTTGATTGTACCTCTGCTTAAAATGTATACAAAAGTAAAGTGATTGATTCTTCCTGTCTAGGAAAGAAGCAAACTAATATTTACTCAATCTTTCTTTTTCTTTTCTAGAGCAATTTTGAGTAACAAAGGTAGAGAAAATGAACAGATTCAATATCATCTCAACTGCCTGAAGAAAAGGTAATATAGTTATGCATTAGCAAATGTTTAAAACATATTTAGTAAAGGTCTAATCTGTCACCGTGTTGCAGAACAGACATTGTGGAATATAAAAGTTTTTTCACTTGGGGTTTTTATTGTTTGGAAAAGAGGAACAATTTGGGAATATATATTCTGTCCTAAACTGCTGTTATATGCACTTCTGAGTTCTTTAGTAGAATTTGTAAGGAAGAATCTGAATGTGACAAAATGCCTCTTTCTGTAATTCACTTTCTGATTGGGATTTGAAAAATATTTTGTCAGTTTTAATTCCCTTCAACTTCATTTTGAACAATTTGAAGTTAACAGTTCACCACTCTTATTTATCCGTTTCTATATTTTTCATATATCATATTACATTATTTGCACAAGCAACAAGTGCAATTTTCTAGAATATTACTGTTCTTCATCGTGTGGCAAGTCACAAATGGAGGTTCCTTTTCATAGGGTGGCATATTGTTGTAGGTGTCCTGTAGGATTCAGTGGCACAGCCTCCCTGATCACCCCAGCTGGGCCCTCGAGATGCACCCCTTGTGTGTACTGTACACCCTTCTGTTGTAATTGAGTCTTGATTGCTGTTGGCATGTCAATGGGAGAGATTTACTCAGGCTGATCAGCTCTAAAGACTGGCAGTGCCCACTGACCACTGGCCTCTGACTACCTTGGAGGATCAACTATGTAGGGCCCAACACACAGAGCAAGACTTACTTCAGCAGGGCTCTGGTACACACTGAGTCCATTCATTGAGGGTGTCGCTTGTGGAGGCGGTTGGGTGGTGGTGCTTCGACGTGGTCTGAAACTGTCCACTGGGTGTGCTGGCTCTGGGGCCAGGTCAGCCACTACCTGTGTTCTACCCAGGGCCACCAGGCATAAGCTACAAAGTGATCTGCCAATGGCTGCTTCTTGTGCTGGGCTTGGAGGTGCCCAGGAAAAGCCAAGTTGTGAACCAAGGCTGGCTGCTTCTAGTGCCAGGCTTGGGGCCACTTAACAAGAGAGATGGGGCTCACTGAAACCAGATGCTGCTTGTTTGAGAGATATTAGGAAAATCTGAAGCAGGATCCAAGATAGGCCAATCCTATGGTAAAGCCATTGGAAACAGCTTGGGTGATTCCTCAGGGAATCACCAGGGCAGGGCAAACTGTGTAAGCCAGGTTGCTGGAGTCCCAGATATGGTGGCAGTTTGCCTGCCCCATAGGGGAAGAGCTCACCAAAGGAACAACGGCCTCTGACAGCAAGTCTGTCCAGGAGAAAGCCCCCTCTCCAGCTCTCACCCCAATGCCAAACAACTCATTTCTTCCCCATATATCTGGTGCCTTTCAAGCTGGCTGTCCAACACTGGAGCCCAGAAGGAGGGAGTTCGAGTAAGTTCGTGCCCAGTCCCTTTAAGAGGAAGTGCCTAGGGCTCCAGCAGCCTCAGACTCCCTTAGCCTCTGTTCCCACTGGTTTTTACAGCCAAAAGTCATAGGGACTTCTCTTCCTGGCACTGGAACCTTTAGGTGGGGGGCCTGGTGTGGGACGGTGACCCCTCACTCCCCAGGAAGGACTTTCCCAGCAAAGTATTCCTCTTGGTTTTTATCTGCCACTCGTGGGTGTGCGACCAGCCTGTCTACACCTCCACCCCTCCTACCAATCTTGATGTGGCTTCTTTAATTTCGTAGTTGTAGGACTTCCATTCAGCTCGATTTCAGGCGGTTCTGATAGATGGTTGTTCTATAGTTTAGTTGTAATTTTTTTTTCTTTATATTGATTTTAGAGAAAGAGGAAGGGAGAGGGAGAAAGAGATAGAAACATCGATGAGAGAGAACATCAACTAGCCACCTCCTGCATGCCCCCCACTAGGTATCAGGCCCACAACCTGGGCACGTGTCCTGACCGAGAATCGAACTGAGGACCTCTTAGTATACGGGTCGATGCTCCACCACTGAGCCACACCAGCCGGACAGTTTAGTTGTATTTTTGATGTGGTTGTGGGGGAAGGTGAGTACCGTGTTTACCTATGCCGCCATCTTGACCAGAAGTCCCCCTATTTATGGTCTGTTTAATATAGGATAAATAATCATGTTTGGTGTGTTAATGAGACTATCATAGTACATAATAGCTGCTCTTCACTGTGATCACCCTGGGTCATCAGAAAAGATTAAATTCTGTTAACATATAGGCTGTCTCTTCATCATGTAGCAGCCATGGAGACATATTTCAAAGACTGCCTGTTTTCTCTTCATGTTTGCTCTTGCAACTCACTTGCAATTTCAGAAATTTTGGGAATTTTACCATTCCCAAAATAACAATACTCAAGATACTTTCCCTTTTACTAAAACAGCAGTGTACACAGCCTTAGCAAATATATTTTAATTGGATCTCTGTATAAATTTTCCTGTAGCAACATTTCTCAAAGTATATTTGGAACATTTATTCTTAAAGATGCTCATTGAATAAAAGTGATATATAGTGAATAATGTTTGGGTACATTAGCATATTAAAAGTCCTGCAGTAAATAAATCTATTTTATTTTGCTTAACTTAGCATCTCCCAAATTGGTATTTATCACAGGGTATCTTTATTTCATATATTAGTCTCCTCTCTGCTTCTGTCAGCATTTTGGCTTTTTTCTCTTAGACAGTTTGTCCTCACTAGATTAAAATTGTAAACATAGACAGCTCCCTATATATCTTTCAACCTTGTGAAGAAAGAGGAGAAAGAAAACACTTATCCTCTTAGCTTCAGTTGGAAAATTCAGTTAGAAAATGGACTGTGATTGGCCCAGCTTAGGTGATATGCCTGTATTTGGACTGATTTTGTGGCAAGACTGTTAAGATTGATAGAGACGGTGTCATATACATACCCCCATGATCAAACAGGGTTGCTAATCAAATAAAGTGATTAGCCCCTACAGTTTCTAGAGGAACATGCTTTAGGAAAGTTATCTTACAGAAACAATGTTATAAATGGTAATTGGGGTGTATTCATGCTATACTTTTAGTTTAATTAGATTTTAAAAGAATCCTGGAAATCTGACAACTATTTAAGACATTGAAACAGTAGATGACCCTTCCACAGAATTGACTTAATAAACTTTTAGAAAGCCCTGGCCAGTTTGGCTCAGCAGTTGAGCATCAGCCTGCGGACCAGAGAATCCCGGGTTCAGTTCCTGCTAGAGGCACATACCACAAAAAATAAACTAAAACAAAATAAATTGGGGAAAAAAAAAACTTTTAGAAGAAACTAAACAGAAACTTCATTCTAGTTAAGAAATCAAAAATGTTTTCCTCTTGGGAAGATTATACAGACAGTATTTATGCTTAAATGTGATGCGTTAATAATGATTTCCTGGATAACTGAAGTTCATCCTTACAGTTTAATGAAAATTATGATTGGTGGGGGGTTTTACTGCCTACTTTTTACTTTACAAAAATATTTTGATTAAGACCCCAGGAAGATAAGTCTTGGGTTCCACTGTTGTTCAAATTCAATAGTAGAACTTTTTAGCACCCCAAAATGCTCCTATTGGGTGGAAGTAATCAAATTTATATTTCTCTACTATGAAATTCAAGAATCAAATATTGGAAAGCTGTGTTGCTCTCTGCTAGAAGTGAAGGAGTGATAAGTCAGTTTCTATTGGTGCTCTAATCAATCCAATGTGAAGGAGGATTTTTTAACTTTAATATTGATTACTATTCATGTTGATAGTACTTTAGAAAAAAGCACTTTAAGCTTATTGTTTTATTTGCCTTAAAGTCTATGGGACTCAATTTTCTTTAAAATAATTTTATTAGTCACATTCTCTAAAACAACTGAGATTTAGAATCCAGGCTCATTGTTAAGACTTAGAGAGTAGTATTTCACCTCTTAACCAATAATTCACAATAAGTAATAGACTTATGTACTGGAATAGTCTAGGAAACACATTTAGAAGACACAAAGAAATTTTTTATATTAAAATACATGTAAGTAATTATTAAATGTGTAAAGTAGAAAAGTTTCCTTTTATGAAGGACCTTAAGTGCCCCCATGATTTGAAGTAAATATTAATAAAATGTAAGGTTAAATGATTGTCAGGGCTTTTTTGAGGAGACTTACTGCTAAGGTAACCCACTGTTAATAAAAGATTATATCCCTTGGGTCCATCCAGTGTGGCTCAGTGTTGAGCATCAACCTATCACCAAGAGGTTGCTGGTTGGATTCCCAGTAGGGCACATGCCCAGATTGTGGGTCCAGTCCCCAGTGGGGGGCATGCAGGAGGCAGCCAGTCCATGTTCTCTCTCATCGATGTATCTATCGCTCTCTCCCTCTCACTTCCTCTCTTTTTAAATCAATAAAGGAAAAAAAGTTTAAAAAAAAAAAGATTATATCCCTTGGGAATATGAGGGCACAACAAAGATAACAGTATTTCAAAACAAAACAAAAATAATACCAATGGTACTCAAAAAATAAACTAATAATTGTGTCTTTATTCTATCCCTAAGGTTGCTACAACTATGTGAAACCCTAAAAGTCCCTCCCCCAAAGCTGAAAGATTTAACTAATGTGTCAGGTCTACTGAAAAAGGAGAGAATACGTCACAGAGCTAATGAGGAAGGTCTGGCATTATTGCAGGTATGAGATGGACAGGGAGTCCATAATTAGGGGGAGGGGGAGGAGACCATAAATTTTTTAAACTATTATGATATTCTTCTGGTAATAAATACTAGATGTTGAACCAGGCATTTTCATTAAATTTTTTTTTAAAGAAGCAAAACTTTGCCTAAACGTTGGGCCTCTAAAGTTAAAAGTACTTCTGTCCTGACTAGTTTGGCTCAGTGGTTAGGTCGTCACCCCTCCAACTGAAGGTCACTGGTTCGATTCCCAGTCAAGGGCACGTACCTGGGTTGCAGGTTCAGTACCTGGCCCTGGTTGGGTCATGTGGGAGGCAACCAATTGATGTGTCTCATATCAATGTTTCCCTCTCTCTCCCTCCCTCCTTTCCACGCTATGAAAAATCAATGGAAAAATATCCTCAGGTGAGGATTATTAAGGGGAAAAAAGCATTTCTAATATATTAGTGACTAAGTAGCTGTTTTATTTTTCTTACCAGACTTTATAACTGAACTTAGTATTTTTGATTTTCAAATCATAGGAATTCATCACTAAGTGCTGCAGAATTTGAAAACATTCGTTTTCTATCCTGTATATGGTATTTCATTTGTCAGGAACATAATCACTGCCATTATTGTTGTTATGATAGCTAACATGTAATGAGGGCTTTCTTTGCTCTTGACACTGTTCTTAGCACTTACAGTTATATCCTTTCATCCTCACAAGGACTTAAAGAGGTCGTTGCTGTATTATCCTCATTCTACAAATGTGAAAAAGAGACATACTGACATTTCTAGCTGAACTTGAAGCAAACTGCTTAAAGTTGTAGCACAAACCTAGCCAGTCCAACATCAGAGCATGATTCTTAATCATTATCCTAAAGAAGCTAATGGGAAATAACATTAGCTGTCATCATGAACTTCAGCCTTGTAATTAGTGGATACTTGAACAATTAAGAAAAGCACCTTATTGGGAGATCACTTTGTGAAGTATATAAATATCTAACTACTATACTGTACACATGAAATATATAAAATAATATTGCATGTCAGATGTAATTTTTAAAAAATTTAAAGTCAGGCAAACCAAAAAAAGAACGAGAGACAGAGAGAGCAAGAGAGAAGCGATCTTAAGGGGCTTATTAAATAATTATAAAACCAGAACAGATTGGACCACATATCCCTTTGTTATTTCAAAGTTGTATGTGGGTGTGGTGCTTAGTTCTTTCTGTCAGCAATTCAGTGAGTACAAGGCGGCAGTAGTTTATGCAAGGAATGCATCCCCAAGGATCTCTAATATTTCAGAATTTACAAATAACTTATTCCAAATTGTTCATATAATTAAGATAATGTTGGAAGGATTAGTTTCTAAGCAACAAACCCACATATATTATACATTTTTTTTCCTTTAGTGATTTTAGAGAGAGAGGAAATGAGAGGGAGAGAGAGAGAAACATCAGTAAGAGAGATTGATTGGCCGCCTCCTGCACACCCCCAACTGAGGATCAGGCCCATGACCTGGGCATGTGTCTTGACCAGGAATTGAACTGGGGACCTCTTGGTGCATGGGTCGACATTCAACTACTGAGCCACACTGGCTGGACATATATTGTAAAGTAATAGGGTGGTATTTTTTAGTGATTGCATGGCTTCTTCATAGAATGAAATTATGTCTATTTTTCTTCCAATGTTACTACCTTTCAAGGATATGTTTTCAGTACTGGCACTAGTTCTAACAATTGGATGACATTAATATGGGTTATTTTTTAAATTTCAGCTTTATTGAGGAAAAATTGACAAATTTATAAGATATTTAAAGTGTGCATCATGATTTTATATATGTGTGCATTGTGTGTGAAAGGATTCCCATCTAGTTAATTAACACATCCATTTCTTACATATATCTTTTGGGGAGGAGTGTGGATAAGATCATTTAAATACTACTCTTTTAGCAAATTTCAAGTACACAATATGGTGTTATTAGTTAAAGTGTATACCCTTTTAACATCCCTTCCCTGTTTCCCCCCTCCTCTCAGCCACTGGCAATCACTTTCCTACTCTGTTTCTATGACTTTGATTTCTCTAAGGTTATTTTATTTTATTTTTTTAATCCTTATTTGAGGATGTTTTTCTATTTATCTTCAGATAGAGTGGGAGGGAGAGAGAGAGAGAGAAACATCGATGGAGAGAGACACACATCAATCAGTTGCCTCCTGCACTACCCTGACCCGAGCCAGGGCCGGGGACCAAAGCACAACTGAAGTATGTGCCCTTGACCAGAATCAAATCCGAGACTCTTTGGTCCTTGGGCTGACACTCTGACCACTGAGCCAAACTGGCTAGGGCTATTTTAAAAGGTTTTAAAGTATAATGATGGTAAATGTTATTTTAACATTTGATATTTCCATCAATCACTTGAAAGGGATCAGAGATAGTAAATGATAGTGTGATTTTTGTAATACTGGGAGACATTTCTGTTTTACAGCTAAAATTGGGACGTCCATGTGCCAAAAGCGTAAATAAATTAAATGGAAAAATCTTTTTTTCTATACTCAACATTTCTGACACCAAATGTGTGGCTGTTCCATACAAGCAGTTCTCCAGTTCTCTGCAGACTCCAGCTGGGTGTCCTGCATCTTAATTCAATTCTGGCACTATCTGGACTTAGCACAGACCCCACAGGTTAAGGCTGAGTGCTACAAGACTGCCTCCTGTCCAGATCCCAGATCCCAGCTGCGAGTGCAAGCCTCCTGTACCTCTGACCAACCAAGCACAAATCGGGTTCCTGTGACCCACCCCTCCTCAGGCTCGATAATTAGCTGTAATGGCTCATAGAACTTAGGAAAGCGCTAGTTACTTACTATTACCAGTTTATTATAAAGGACTCAACTCGGGAACAGCCAAAAGAGATGTGTAGGACACCGTATGTGGGAAGGGGTGCGGAGCTTCCATGCTTCTTCGAGCACATCCTTCCAGTTCCTTCATGTGATCACCAATCTGGAAGCTCTCTGACCCTCGTTGTTGGGAGTTTTTATAGAAGCTTCATCACATAAGCATGGTGATTAAATCTCCAGCTCTTCTCGCCTGCTCAGAGATCAAGCAGTAGGCCTGGAAGTTCCAATCCTCTAGTCACATGGTTGGTTGCTCTGGCAGCCAACCTCATCCTCTATGAGTCATTCATTATCATAAACTCAGGTAAGGTGGGAAAGGACTTACTATGAATAACAAAAATGCTCTTTACTCCAATCACTTAGAAAATTATAAGGGTTTTGGTAGCTCTGTGCCAAGAACCAGGACAAAAAACAAATATTATGACTAAATATGCTCTTATCCCCCCCGCCATCACTTAGGAAGTTACAAGGGTTTTAGAAGCTCAGTGCCAGGAACCAGGGACAAAGAGCGAATATGTATATTTCTTGTATCACAGCAGTCTGTGGTTTGCTTGATAGTTACTCAGTGGGAGCACTGTTGGCATTTTGGGCGTAAGAGTCTTTGAACTAGGTGTTTGTAGAATTTGTATTCACTAGTTTTCTCCTATGTGCATTACTTAGAACCACTGCTTTCTCCTCCTCAGCCTAGAGTTATTGTTGGTGGTGCCTTTCCAAAACCTGGAGACAATCCACACTGATGTGGGGGTGGTGTGCAGTCTCCACACAATGGTGCCCCAGCAGGGAAGCAATTTTTTTTCTCATCATAGAACAAAATGAGTTTGAATGAAACGACATTGTTAGAGGAACTGCTATACTAAAAAATGAAGTTACAGAATTCAGGAAAGAATTCAGAATCAAAGAAAAAGCCTTTCAGATATGCAGACTAAATTAGAAGAAATGCTAAAGCAAATAAACACAACAGATAATTCTTACAATAAATAGAAGGTAAAATAAGGAAAACATTTTAAGAATCAAAACGATTACTTCTTAAAGGTATTGAGAAAAAGTGACAAATACAAAAGTTTGGCAAAGAAGATATAATGTGGGTATGGTAGGAATACCCAAAGAAAATAACCAAAGCAATAGAATAAAATTAAGTTTTTTAAATTTATAATGAAAAATTTTAGTTCTTATTATAAATTCTTCAGTCATAGCTCTTATTTATTCCTTTCTATATGAGTTGAATGGTGGCCCCCAAAAAGATATATCTAAATCCTAACCCCTGGAATGTGACCGTATTTCTTTATTCATGAGACAGAGGAAGGGAGAGAGAGATAGAAATATCGATAAGAGAGATTGGGCCCACTGGGGATTGGGCCCACAACCTTGGGCATGTGCCCTGGCTGGGAAACAAACCAACGACCTCTGGGTGCACGGGTCTACCTTCAACCACTGAGCCACACTGGCCAGACAAATGTGGGAAAGTGACATTTAGAAAGAGAATCTTCCCAGGATCTCCAGATGAGATCTTCCTGGATTATCTTGGGTGGGTCCTAAATCCAGTGACAAGTGTCCATCAAGAGATCAGAGTGTTTTTATGAGACACAGACGTAAAGGAAAAGATCTTGTGCAGACATGCAGAAAGTGGAGTGATGCAGCTACAAGGGTTGCTGGTGGCTTCAGAAGCTGGAAGAGGCAACAAATGAATCTCCTCTAGAGCCTTCAGAGGGAGCACCGCCCTGAGACACCTTGATTTGGGACATCTGCCCTCCAGAACTCTAGGGGAGTAAACTTCTGTTTTAAGCCACCAAGGTTGTGGTAATTTCTTATAGCAGGCACAGGAAATTAATACATGTAGTTTAACATTATATTTGTATTTGACAGGGGTCTCTAAATCCAGCAACCAATTCATAGGAAATTAGGGCTGAGGAACGGGTTAAAATGGTACATACAGCCACTTTGGAAAACATTTGGTGGTTTCTTAAACTAAACATATTTTTGCCACATGATCCAGGAGAATGCTGCACACTGATCTTTGTCGCAGCATTGCTCACAATTGCCAAAACTTGGAAAAAACACAAGATGTCCTGCAGTAGGTGGATGGATAGGTAAACTGTTGCACATCTAGACAATGGAATGTTATTCAGCATTAAAAAGAAAGGAGCTATCAAGCCCCAGAAAGACATGAAGGGAACCTTAAATGTATATCATTAAGTGAAATAAGCCAATCTGAGAAGGCTATGTACATGTGAATGCAACTGTATGACATTCTGGACAAGGTACAACTGTGGGGACAATAAAAGGATCAGTGATTGCCAGGGTGTGTGGTGGGGATTGAGATGAATAGGCAGAACACAGGATATTTTAAGCCATCAGCCCTTGGGCTGTGCTGGATTTACACAGGTCTTCCAGAATCTCTGATGCTAGCAGCTTTACTAGCTTTTTGGGGAAATGTTCTTGTACTTTGGGTATATCTTTTTGTTTCAGGAAATTAAGTTTCCTTATGATGTATTATTATATTGCTAAATTAGTTTCTGAGAAGTCTGTTTTTCGGAAGAAAACAAAAATATATTTACCAGTTTCTTCTAGCAGTGTTTTAATATATGAAGTGCTTTAAAAATATGTATATGTTTAGTAATATCTTGGGGTGGGGTTATTTAATAAATATTTTATTTAAAACATTAACTTTCTGCCCTGGCTGATGTGGCTCAGTTGGTTGGGCATCATCGCATGCACCAAAAGATCACTGGTTCGATTCCCAGTCAGGGCACAGGCCTGGGTTGCAGGCTCGATCCCCTGTTGGGGGTATGCAGGAGGCAGCTGACTGATCTCTCTCTCTTCCTTCCTCTCTCTAAAAATCAGTAAAAAAAAACATTTAAAAAAATAAAACATTAACTTTCTCTTTCTGACGCAGGAACAATTAGATAAAATAGTAGAGACCACAGAGTCAGTGACTGGGAATATTCAGAGCCTAAAGAACAAAATTCAGATTCTGACAAGTGAGGTGGAAGAAGAGGAGGAGAAGGTAAAACAGGTAATTGTTTAATAATGTATTGCTAGACTCTGGGTGTAATTTATTTTAACTTTATTGTTGAATTTATTACAAATGTCCTTCTGTCTGTCCCCCAGTGATACCTCCCCATTCCCGCCCTCCTCTTGCCTTCCTCACATTATTGTCTGGGTCCATTGGTTAGGCATATATAAGTCCTTTGGTTTATCTCTTCCCAACCTGCCACTTCTCTTTGAGGTTTGTCAAATCTAACAATCAATGTGTACTTCTTTAATCCATTCACCTTTTTCACCCATTCCCAATCCCCCTCCCATCTGGCAACCTACAAAAAGGTCTCTGTATCGGGACCTTGAAAGTATCATCCTAAGTGAAACAAGCCAAACAGAGAAAGACAAGTTTCATATGATCTCACTTATTTGTGGGATATAATGAACATAACAGTCTGAGGAATGGGGTAGTCCCAGAGACGCGGAAGCAGGGTACAGACTGACAATCCCCTAAAGAGGGGGGTGGTGGGGGAGATAATAAACCACAGAACTTATATGCATGTATGCATGAACAGTGGACATGGACAACAATCTGGGGAAAGGGCAGGGAGGGAGGGAAGGGGGGAATCAGTGGGGGAAAAAGGAGAAACATCTGTAACAAAAATTAATTAATAAAAAATAAAAATGAGTCACAATTTGAAAAAAAAAAAGTCTGTATCTATGAGTCTGTTTTTGTGTTTGCTTGTGCATTTTTATAGATTCCATTGCTGATAGATATGTATTTATTGCCATTCATATTTTTGTTCTTCAAGAAGACCCTTCAACATTTTATATAAATATGTGTATTAATATACATATATAAATACCTGGCCAGTTTGGCTCAGCGGTTGGAGCGTCGGCCTGTGGACCAGAGAGTCCTGGGTTCGGTTCCCGCTAGGGGCATGTACCAAAAAAAAAAAAGAAAGAAAGAAACATACATACATATGGTTTGGTGGTGATGAACTCCTTTAGCTTTTTTTGTCTGGGAAACTCTTTATGCATCCATTGATTCTAAATTACAGCTTTGTAGGATAGAGTAATCTTGGAAGTTTCTTTTAAGAAATTGGCTGACAGTCTTATGGTAGCTCTGTTGTAGGTATCTAACAGCTTTTCTCTTGCTGCTTTTAAGATTCTCTTTGTCGCCCTGGCCGGTTTGGCTCAGCGGTTAGAGCATTGGCCTGCGGTCCGGAGAGACCCGGGTTCGGTTCCCGCTAAGGGCATGTACCTTGGTTGCAGTTTGTCCCCGGCCCTGGTTGGTTGTGCAGGTGGCGACCACTCGATGTGTCCCTTTCACATCGATGTTTCTCTCTCTCTCTGTTCCTCTCTGTCCCTCCCACTCTATCTGAACAAAGAATGGAAAAATGTCCTCGGGTGAGGATGATAAAAAAAAAAAAGATTCTCTTTGTCTTTAAACTTTTGCATTTTAATGATGATGTGTCTTGGTGTGGACCTACTTCAGTTCATCTTGTTTGGGATTCTTTGTGCTTCCTGGACTTGTACGTCTGTTTCCTTCATCAAGTTAGGGAATTTTTCTGTCATTATTTTTTCAAATAGGTTTTTAATTTTTTGCTCTCTCTCTTCTCCTTCTGGCATCCCCATGATGCAAATGTTGTTGTGCTTGAAGTTGTCCCAGAGGCTCCTTACACTATCCTCATTTTTTTTAATATTTTTTTATTTTTTGCTGTTTTGATTGGGTGTTTTTTGCTTCCTTATATTCCAAATCAGTGGTTTGCTTCTTGGCTTCACCTACTCTACTATTGATATCCTATAAATTATTCTTTATTTCAGTCAGTGCACCCTTCATTTCTGAGTGGTCCTTTTTTATGCTCCTCAGGTCCTCACTAAGTTCCTTGAGCATCCTTATAACCAGTGTTTTGAACTCTGCATCTGATTGATTGCTTATCTCCATTTCATTTAGTTCTTTTCCGGAGTTTTGTTCTATTCTTTCATATGGAACATGTTTCTTTGTCTCCTCATTTTGGCTGCCTCCCTGTGTTTGTTTCTATGGATTAGGTAGAGTTGCTATGTCTCTTAGGCTTTGTAGGGTGGTCTATTGTAGTAGGTGTCCTGTAAAGTCCATTGGCACAACCTCCCTGGTCACCCCAGTGGAGCCCTCAAGGTGCACCCTTGTGTGAACTGTCCACCCTTCTGTTGTAATTGAGTCTTGATTGCTGTTGGCACATCAATGGGAGGGATTTACTCAGTCTGATCAGCTGCTGCAAGGACTGGCTGTGACCACTGACCTCTGACCACCTTGGAGGATCAGCTGTACAGGGCCCACCACACAGAGCAAGACTTACTTCAGCAGGGCTCTGGTACCCCCTGAGTCTGCTTATTGAGTGTGTCACTTGTGCAGGTGGTTTGGTGGTGGTGCTTCGATGTGGTCTGAAGCTGTCCACTGGGTATGCTGGCTCTGGGGCAAGGTGAGCACTGCCTGTGTTCTACCTGGGACCACCAGGTATAAGCAACAAAGTGATCTGCAGATGGCTGCTTCTTGTGCTGGGCTTGGAGGTGCCCAGAAAAGCCAAGCTCTGAACCAAGGCTGGTTACTTCTAGTGCCAGGCCTGGGGCTACTTAGCAAGAGGTATGGGGCTCACTCAGGCCAGATGCTGTTTGTTAGAATTTAGGAAAATCTGAAGCAGAAGCCAAGACAAGCCAATCCTATGGTAAAGCCTTTGGAAACAGCTGGGGTGGCTCCCAAAGTTGGGTGGGGCAGAGTCTCAGGGTATCACCAAGGGGGTTCAAACAGTGTAAGCCAGATTGCTGGAGTCTTAGATATGGTGGCCCTTTGCCAGGCCTGTGGGGGAAGGGCTCACCAAAGGAACAAAGGCCTCCACCAGCACGTCTTTCTGAGAGAAAGCTGCCCCTCCAGCTCTCCCCAGTGCCATACAACTCAGTTCTTCCCCGTATGCCTCTGGTGCCTTTGGAGCTGCCTCCCCGGTGCTGGAGCCTGGAAGGAGCGGGTCCAAGTAAGTCCGTGTGCAGGGCCTTTAAGAGACACTGCCTGGGACTCCAGCAGCCTCAGCCTCCCTCAGCCTCAATTCCCACTCAATTTTGGAACCACAAGGTATGGGGAGTTCTCTTTCTGGCACTGGAACCCTGAGCTGGGGGGCTTTGTGTGGGACAGGGACACCTCACTGCTCAGGACCTTCACAGCCGAGGTGTCCCTCCTGATTTTTATCCACCACATGTGGGTGTGGGACCAGCCCATCCGTGCCTCCACCCCTCCTACCTGTCTCCATGTGGCTTCTTTAATTTCATAGTTGTAGGACTTCCATTCATCTCGATACAGGCGGTTCTGGATGATGGTGGTTCTGTAGTTTAGTTGCAATTTTGATGTTGTGGGAGGTGAGTACGTTTACCTATGTCACCATGTTGACCAGAAGTCTCTGGGTATAATTTTTTTTTTTTCCCTCACCCGGGGACATTTTTCCATTTTTTATACAGATAGAGTGGGAGGGAGAGAGAGGAAAAGAGAGAGAGAGGGAAACATCGATGTGAAAGGGACACATCGAGTGGCTGCCACCCGCACGACCAACCAGGGCCGGGGACAAACTGCAACCGAGGTACATGCCCTTAGCGGGAACCAAACCCGGGTTTCTCCGGACCGCAGGCGGACACTCTAACCGCTAAGCCAAACCGGCCAGGGCTGGGTATAATTTTTAATGCTTGCATTTTACCAAGACAACGTTTGAGTGTAGTAACTTAAGAGAAATTCGTCTTTTAAAAGAATCTGTATCTTTCTTTTTCTTCCTTAGATAGTTCAAATAGATAGTAGTGGGGTACTCTGTGTTCCAGAACTTTCTCAGAAGAGTCTCAAAGCACCCACACTTCAGGTAAGTACCAATTTATAATATTGACTATCACCATATATAAATTCAATATTTAAAAGCATATATCCTTCTTCTTTAAAAAAAAAAAAAGTGGAATTCATGCTATAAATATACACAAAAGTATTTCTCATTTGACATTATAATTCAATCATCTTTCTTTGTCTTGTTCTTGTCAATAGTTGTATAATATTCCACTGTATGGATGTAGTATAATATAGTTTGTGAGTTACTGATAGAAATGAGTAAGTTTTGTAATTACAGATAATGCTAAGTATACTCTTGTACATATATTTTTACACATTTGTGTGGTCATATAACTATGATTGATTTCTGAAAGTAAATTCATACCGTTGTTTTTGTTTATGCTTCTAACAATAGCATATAACTCTTTATAAAATAGTATTGTATCTTATTTGTAGTAGACTATACACTGATAATTTAGCTTTCATCAAAGGACCCTAGTAGATATTATAATGTAAAAGTTTATAGTGGTAGAAAGTCTTTCTGTCTTCTCAAAAAATAATTTGAAGTTTTCCTATGTATAGTTCACCTACAATACAAGGAATGAAATAGGCAGAGGGAAAATGGAATAATATAGATTTGAAAGGAGAACAGCTATGAGTTGATGGTTATTGAAACTGAGTGATGGGTACATAAGATTTATTATGCCATTCTCTAAATAACATACATTTGATATTTGTCATAAGAAGATTAAAAACTAATTATATTGGTAAAGGTAGTCAAAAGGTACAAACTTCCAGTTGTGAAATAAATCTTAGAGATGTAATATACAGTATGGTAATTAGTAATACTGTATTATATGTTTTTAATGTTTTTATTGATTTTTTTTAGAAAGAGAGGAAAGGAGAGGGAGGGAGGGGGGCAGAGAGAGAGAGAGAGAACGATTGGCTGCCTCCCACATGCCCCCTACTGGGAATTGAGCCCACAACCTGGGCACCTACCCTGACCCAGAGTCTAACCAGTGACCTGTTGGTGCATGAGACAGTGTTCAACCAATTGTTCAACCAATATTCACTCCAGCCCAGTGTAATGTATTGTATTTTTGAAAGTTGCTAAAAGTAAATCTTAAAAGTTCTCATCATAAAAAAAAAATAATTATAACTATGTGTGGTTATGGATGTTAACTAGATTTATTGTGATGATCATTTCATAATATATACAAATATTGAATTATTATGTTATACACCCAGAACTAATATAATGTTATATGTCAATTATATCTCAATAAAAGATTTTTTTAACTAATTATACATTGTATCCACAGAAAGAAATTTTGGAACAAATTCCAAACCAGAATGCTCTTCTGAAGGACTTTGAGGTTCTCCGTAATTCACCTCAGACGAAGAACATGTTAACTTTCATCGAAGAAGCATATAGGAGACTGGATGCCTCTTAAAGAGTGTTGTTCAGATTATTTCACATTAATTTATAACATTTATAAATCTGTAAAACTGTTAACCTATGACGATATTTCAGAGGCTAAGGCTTCTTCAGGATTTATTATTTCCAAATATGGAGCTTAAAGTTAGTCCCTATAGACCTACCATTAGCATCTAATGTAGTCCTGAAAACTGTGTTTAGCAGTTGCCAAGTCTAGGAGCTCACATTTAAGTTGCAGTATCTCCACTTATTTACCTGAAACCATAAAATGAGAACAGTCACAATCTAGTGATTTATAACGGCTGAATAGAGCTCATTTATTGATTAATGCAGAGGAAATTTGATACTGTGACCTATATTAGTAAAATGTTTATAGTACCTAGTTCATAAAAATGTTTGCTTATTATTATTTTTAGCTGATGACTTGCATTTTCTCTGGTCATCTGGAACTTGATAAATCCCCAAACACTTTACTTTTTTATATATCTCTCTAGACTTTATGGTGTAATTAAAATTTGCCAGGTGTTTTCAACTTTGGAGGTAACATTAACATTTTATTTCTTTGGTTGGTTTAATGAATAGAACTTGGATACTTATTTTCCTCTATCATCAAATCATACTTTTATTTCATAAAAGTATTAAAAAGGACCATAAGCACATTTATTCCCTTAAAAAAAATCTTTTTAAACCTTTCCTCATTGTGATGGTAATATGTATATACATGTGAATAAATGACCACTAAAATATATCAAAAATAATTTCTAACCAACTACTATATATTGTCTGGGTTGCTTTTATCTATTTGTAAAATAAACTGTAATTTAGTTATTTTTCTGTCTAACCTAGAATACTTTGTCAGTTAATTTAAAAGGTGCCATAATTCTGTTAATATCCTCCAGGCAGAGATCACCAGGAGCACAGCTTGCATTAAACAAATTTAATTTAATGCTCATTGCAGTGAGGGAGACCACACACCATATGAAACCCTGGGCAGCTCAGTAGAAGAGTCAAAAACAATATCCTCTTGGAAGTTATGGTCAAAAAGGACATTAATGGATTTTAGAGGGCAAGTAAGTCTTCAATAAAAGAAACCTGTAGTGCAGCACTTAAAATGTTTTTGCATATTTTAGGCTGCCTGCTACATACCAGGCAAAGCAACAAAGAGATTTTACAAATATCTTAAATTTTAAAAACCTTTTACTTGGAGACTTACAGCTTCATGGTTTTAGAGTGACAAATCTAGCCCCAACTCACTGATTTTTATTATTCATGACATTTATAATAGCTTTTGGTAGGGGGAGGGTACATTAAAAGTCTGCTATTTAAGAACATCTGTTTAGCAGATGATTGAACAGCTACTAGAATTTTTACTTACCATTGTTGCTGAGTGACAGTTCTTCATGCATCAGCCGGTCATGCTACCCTCTTGTTTTGAAAAGTAAGTGATCCAGATTTAAAAAAATGGTGATGGAGTGAATGGAAGGTACACAATCCGTCTCCCAGGACCAAACTGGAATTACAACTAAAATAAAGACCAATCATTGGGAAAAGCCAACTGAAGAGCAGTTGGACAGAACCATTACAACCAGGAACGCCAAATCAACCTGGTGGGAATTGCAGAGGTGCGCAGGCACCAGCTGGGAGTCCGTGGAACAGCGGAGAGTTGTATTAGTGGTGTGCACTTCCTGTTGAGAAATGGGGGGTTTAAAGACAAATCATCAGGAAAACCCAACTAAAAAGCAGCGGGACAGAATAACTGCAACCAGGGATGTCAAATTCGGCCTGATAGGAATTGCGGTGGCGTGCAGGTATGGGCTGGGAGTCCAGAGGCTGGGAGTCTACAGAACAGCAGAGAGCTGTATTAGCGGTGTGCACTTCCCACTGAGGAAGTGCTTTTTAAAAAAAAAAAAAAACAGCACCAAACTAGCTATAGCCACTTACCTTCAGCTCAGACAGAGGGAGGTCTGGACTGGAACTGAATGAAAAGAAGGCTCCTGACTCCAGAGGGGTGGATGCAGGAATTCTGTGCTGAATTGTTCCCTTGCGGACAGTACCATCTTACTCCAAGAGCCCCTTACTAGAGCTTTAGGGAGAAGCAAGGGCCCTTCCCACAGGAATTCAACACCACCAGGACAGGTGAAAGAAATGCAAATTGAGGTACATTAACATCTCAACTGAATGAGCCAGCAAGAGCCACCTGAGGCTCCTCGAGCAACTGAGACTAATAGCCTCTAGGCAAATAGCTAGAGGATAACTGATCCTTTCCTTAACTTGAAAATCTACCCAAGAAAGTAAGACTTGACAGTGGTGTTTAATGTGAGTCCTCCCTCACTCATCCAAGCCCAGTAGAGGGAGCCACAGCCAACGGAACACCAACACCCACAGGGAAAATGTGTCAGGCTACAAAACCCACTGAGACAGCATAAATGGTAAAACAAAGAAACAAAACCCATATGAAAGAACAAGATAATTCTGCAGGAGAAGAAGTAAATGACATAGAATTAGGCAAGATATCAGAGGGAGAGTTCAGAGCAATCAATAATCATGAGGAAGCTCAACAGTATGAGTAAAGAGCTCAATAGCATGAGTAAAGATATAGTAACATTGAAAACCAACCCATTGGAAATGAAGACTGACATAGCAGAGATAAGGAACACATTGGAAGGAATAACCAGTAGAGTAGATGAAACCGAGGACCAGATCAGTGAATTAGAAGACAAGGTAGAAAAAAATCACTCAGCAAATCAAAAAGAAAAAACAATCAAAAACAGGAAGACAGCTTAAGAGAACTATGGGACAACATGAAGCTTAACAACGTATGCATCATAGGTGTGCCAGAAGAAGAAGAAAATGAGCAAAGGTTAGAGAATGTATTTCAAAAAATAGTGACAGAAAACTTCCCTACCTTGGTGAAGGAAAAAGGCATACAACTCCAAGAAGCACAGAGAGCCCCAAGTAAGAAGAATCCAAAGAGGCCCACACCAAGACACATAATAATTAAAATCCCAAAAATTAAAGACAAAAAGAGAATTCTAAAGGAGTAAGAGATAAGCAACAGGTTACCTACAAAGGAACCCCCATAAGGCTATCAGCTGCCTTCTCAACAGAAATACCACAGGTCAGAAGGGAATGGCATGAAGTAATTGAGGTAATTAAAATCAATGATCTGAACCCAATACTACTCTATCCAGTGAAGTTATTATTCAAAAGAGAATGTATAAAGAGCCTCCCAAACAAACAAAAAGGCTAAGGGGATATATTAGTACCAAACCAGCACTACAAGAAATGTTGAAAGGACTGCTGTAATTAGTAGAAGAATTAGGAAGAAAAGTATAACCATAGTAAACAAAAATGGCAATAAATAAGTTCACATCAATAATAATCTTAAATGTAAACAGATTCAATGCTCTGATTAAAAGACACAGAGTAGCTGAATGGATAAGAAAGCACAACTCATATAAATATCTTGTTTACAAGAGACCCACCTCACAGCAAAAGGCTTATATAAGTTGAAAGTGAAGGGATGCAAAATCTTCCAAGCAAACGGAAAGGAAAAAAAGCTGGGGTAGCAATACTCATATCCAATAAATTAGACTTCAAAATGAAGGCCATAACTAGAGACAAAGAAGGCCACTACATAATATTGAAAGAATCTATCCAACAGGAGTATATAACCTTGGTAAACATATACGCACCCAACATAAGAGCACCAAAGTACATTTTAAAAAAAGAAACTTCTGGAGGACTTTAAAGGAGAAATCGACAGCAATACAATCATTGCAGGGGACTTCAATACCCCTCTGACATCACTGGATGGATCTTCTAGACAAAAAATTAACAAAGAAACAGGTTATCTAAATGAAGCAAATGGATTCAATAGATATCTAGAGAGAATTACACCACAAAACTGCAGAACTCATTCTTCTCAAGTGCACATGGGACATTCTCAAAGATAGACCACATGATAGGACACAACCTAAGTCTCTACAAGTTCAAGAAAATGGAAATCATATCAAGCATCTTCTCAAATCACAATGGCATGAAACTAGAAATTAATTACAGCAAAAGCATTCAAACATACGGAGGCTAAATAGCATGTTATTAAACAATGAATGGGTTATCAAGAGATCAAGGAAGAAATTTTAAAATTTCTAGAAACCAATGAAAATGAACACAAAATATATGAGACACAGCAAAAGCAGTCCTGAGAGGGAAGTTCATAGCACTACAGACCTGCCTCAAGAAACAAGAAAAAATTTTAATTGACTATCTAACCTCACAACTTAAAAGAACTAGAAAATAAACAAAAAGAAAAACCCAGAGCAAGTAGAAGGAAAGAAATAGTTAAGGTCAGAGCAGAAATAAATGACATAGAAAGTAAAACAACAATTCAAAAGATCAATGAAACAAAAAGCTGGTTCTTTGAAAGGATAAGTAAAATTGATGGACCTTTATCTAGATTCACCAAGAAACAAAGACAGAGGACCCAAATAAACAAAATCAGAAACAAAAGAGGAGAAGTAACAACTGACATCACAGACATACAAAGAATCGTTAAAAAATATGAACAATTATATGCCAATATATCGGACAATCTAGGCAAAATGAACAAATTTCTAGAAATATACAGTCTCCCAAAACTGAACTGGGAAGAGATAGAAAACTTGAACAGACCAGTAACACTTAAGGAAATTGAAGATATAGTCAAGAAACTCCCAGCAAACAAAAGCCTAGGCCCGGACGGAAGGCTTCATGGGAGAGTTTTACTGAATATTCAAAGAAGATCTAACAACTCATTCTCCTGAAACTATTCCAAAAAATCCAAGAAGAAGGAAGACTTCCAAACTCGTTTTATGAGGCCACCATAATTCTAATTCCAAAACCAAATAAAGACACTACAAAGAAAGAAAACTACAGGCCAGTATCCCTGATAAACATAGATACGAAAATCCTTAACAAAATATTAGCAAATCGGATCCAGCAATACACCAAAAAAATTATTTACCATGACCAAGTGGGATTTATCCCAGG